TGTTGATGTTGGTTTTGTTTCTGTTCTGTTTTACTATTCACTTACAGTCGAATGCCGCTTCCGCACAACAAGTGGTACCAGAGCCCAGTTTCATGAATAGTGTTGGCGCTACAGTTCTGTGAACAGTGAACTGCTATAGTATCTGTGAACAGTATTGTACCTGTGAACAGTACCGTATTTGTGAACAGTACCGAGTAGATGGCTGGAGATAAAGACGAATCTGTAAAGAAGGGGTCAACATCATCTTCGTCTACATCCAACTACTACTACAAGGTTAGAGGTTGATAAATTCAATGGCTCTAATAATTTTGGTATGTGGCAATGTGAAGTTATGGATGTGTTGTATCAACAAGAGTTGGATATGGTTCTGGAAGATAAACCAGAAGATATTGATGACAAGCAGTGGATGCGAATTAATCTTCATGCTTGTGCTGCTATTCGATCATTCCTTGATAAGGAGTTGAAATACCCGTATATGAAGGAAACTTCTGCTAAGGAGTTATGGACGAAATTGGAGGAGAAATATATGACCAAGAGCGCAGAAAATCGTCTCTTCTTGAAGAAGCGACTCTTCCGATTTCAGTATCGTCCAGGTATCTCTATGCACGAACACCTCAATGATTATAATAAAATACTTGCTGATTTAGCAAACCTTGATGTGAAAATTCCTGACGAGGACAAGGCACTATGTTTGTTAAATTCATTGCCTGATGATTATGATCATTTGACAACTACTCTGTTGTATGGAAAATCCGAGGTGAAACTTGATGAGGTGTCTACGGCATTGGTGAATCATGAGTGTCGTAAGAAATAACTGAAGACTCACAATTCACAAACCGAGGCATTTGTTGCAAGGGGTTGAACAGAGGAAAGAAAATCTGGGAAGCGGGGAAAATCTCGTTCAAAGTCACGAGGGAAGTTTCTTGCTAAAGATGAATGTACTTTTTGTCGCCAAAAGGGTCATTGGAAGAAAGACTGCCCCAAATTGAAGAACAAAGAGAAGGAGAAAGCGGGTTCTGAAGCAAATATTGCAAAATCTGGAGATGATGATTTCGAGTTTGCTTTGGCTAGTTCATATGCTGATGGTCACTCAAATGAGTGGATTTTGGATTCAGGTTGCACCTATCATATGTGTCCCATTCGGGAATGGTTTTCTAATTTCGAGAAGCTGGATGGTGGAGTTGTTTTGATGGGTAATAATAATGCCTGCAAAACACAAGGGATAGGCAAAATCTGTTTGAATATGCATGATGGAACAGTCAGAGAATTAAGTGATGTTCGGTATGTACCGGATATGAAGAAAAATCTCATCTCACTGGGTGCATTGGAATCTAAGGGTCTCAAGATCACCATGGAGGGTGGAGTTCTTAAAGCTGTGTACGGGGCACTGGTGGTGATGAAAGGTACAAGACGAAATAACTTGTATTTCTTGCAGGGGAATACAGTTATTGGTGGAGCAGCTGTCACCGAAGCTGCTGACGCAGATAGCTCAGACACCACGAGGTTATGGCATATGCGTCTTGGGCATGCTGGTGAAAAAGCGTTGCAAGGATTGGTGAAGCAATGCTTATTGAAAGGTGCAAAGGCATGCAAATTGGAATTCTGTGAGCATTGTGTGTTGGGTAAGCAAACTAGAGTAAAATTTGGCACTGCTATTCACCACACTAAAGGCATTCTTGATTATGTTCACACTGATGTTTGGGGACCTTCCAAGAATGCATCTTGGGGAGGTAGCCATTATTTTGTCTCCTTTGTTGATGACTTCTCTAGAAGAATATGGGTGTACACCATGAAGCGTAAAGATGAAGTCTTGAAGATATTCCTGAAGTGGAAAAAGATGATTGAAACGCAAAGCGGTCGAAAGATCAAGACTCTCAGATCAGACAATGGGGGTGAATATAAGTCTGATCCTTTCTTGAAAGTTTGTCAAGATGAGGGTATTGTGAGGCACTTCACGGTTAGGGAGACACCGCAATAGAATGGGGTGGCGGAGCGCATGAACCGTACTTTGCTTGAGAAAGTTCGGTGTATGTTGTCTAATGCTGGATTAGGCAAGGCATTTTGGGCTGAGGCACTCACTTATGCAAGCCATCTCATTAATCGATTACCAGCTACTGCGAATGAGGGCAAAACGCCCATGGAGGTATGGTCTGGTAAACCTTGTACTGATTACAAGTTTTTACACATATTTGGTTGTTCTGCTTACTATTATGTCAGAGAAAGCAAGTTGGATCCAAGAGCAAAGAAAGCTCTATTTATGGGGTTTAGCACTGGCGTGAAGGGATACCGACTCTGGTGTCCAGATGAGAAGAAATTTGTTGTAAGCAGAGATGTGACTTTTGATGAGGCTGCTATGGTTAATCAGAACAAGCATGAAGGTGAAACTGAAGCGACCGAGACCATGAGTAGCTCAAAGCAGGTGGAGTTACTGAAGACTCCAGTTGTTCCAGTAAGGTATGATGTTACAACCACTAGTCCTACAGTTAATTCTGATGATGAGGACGAGGATGATGAAGAGGAAGCACTTGCCCAAGAGCCTCCACAACAACAAGACTATATTGCAACCAGAAGATCGAAAAGGGAAATTCGAAAGCCTGCTCGATTTACTGATATTGTGGCATATGCACTTCCTGTTATTGAAGATGATATTCCATCCGCCTACAAAGAAGCTGTCATGAGTTCAGAGTGCGAGTTGTGGAAGAAATCTATGGATGAGGAGATGAAATCTCTTCATAAAAATGAGACTTGGAATCTGGTTCAGTTACCAAAGGGGAAGAAAGCAATTGGTTGTAAATGGGTGTATGCCAAAAAGATGGAATCTTTGGGAAAAGACAATGTAAGATTCAAAGCCAGATTGGCAGCTAAAGGCTACGCTCATAAGGAAGGCATTGACTACAATGAGGTATTTTCTCCTGTAGTAAAACATTCTTCTATTCGTATTTTGTTGGCTTTGGTTGTGCAGTTTGACCTTGAGTTGGCCCAACTTGATGTCAAGACTGCGTTCTTACATGGTGATTTAGAGGAAGAGATTTATATGTCTCAGCCAGAAGGTTTTAAGGTTGCAGGAAAGGAAAATTGGGTTTGCAAATTGGAAAAATCAGTGTATGGCTTGAAGCAGTCTCCAAGACAATGGTACAAGCGATTTGATCGATTTATGATCGGGCAAAAGTACACAAGAAGTCAGTATGACCATTGTGTATACTTTCGCAAACTACAAGATGGAACCTTCATTTATCTGCTTTTATATGTTGATGATATGCTTATAGCATGTAAAAGCAAAGTGGAGATTGAAAGGTTGAAGACTCAACTAAGTAATGAATTTGAGATGAAGGACTTGGGAGAAGCTCGGAAGATACTAGGTATGGAAATTGAAAGAGATAGAGCGAAGGGCAAGATTAGTCTGTGTCAGAAGCAGTATTTGAATAAGGTACTACAACGTTTCAGGATGAATGAAAATTCAAAACCGGTTAGTACACCTCTTGCCTCTCATTTCAAACTTAGCGTTTCTATGTCTCCTAAAACTGTTGAAGAGAGTCAGTACATGGCTCAAATTCCTTATGCAAATGTTGTTGGTAGTTTGATGTATGCTATGGTGTGTACTAGGCCTGATATTTCACAAGCTGTTAGCATTGTCAGTAGATATATGCATAATCCAGGAAAAGGGCATTGGCAAGCTGTGAAATGGATTCTACGGTATATTCTGGGTACTGTGGATGTTGGTTTATTATTCCAGCAGGATAAAGTTACTGGTCAATGTGTTGTTGGATATGTGGATTCTGATTACGCAGGTGATTTGGACAAGCGTAGGTCCACTACTGGTTTTGTATTCACTATTGCTGGAGGTCCAGTAAGTTGGAGGTCGATTCTGCAATCTACAGTTGCTTTGTCGACTACTGAGGCAGAATACATGGCTGTAACAGAAGCTATAAAGGAAGCCATCTGGCTTCAAGGGTTGCTTGATGACTTAGGGGTTCAACAAGACCATGTGGATGTTCATTGCGACAGTCAGAGTGCTATTCATTTAGCAAAGAATCAAGTTCATCATGCATGTACGAAACACATTGATGTGAGGTTCCATTTTGTTCGTGAGGTTATTGACGAGGGAGATATTCTTCTTCAGAAGATTGGGACCGCTGACAATCCTGCGGATATGTTAACAAAGCCAGTTTTGTTGCTCAAGTTTAAGCACTGCTTAGACTTGATTGGCATTTGTAAAATTTGTTGATTGCCCCATGGGGGATTGGGAGACGACTATTAGGAGTTCTACTTAGAGGGTTTGAGTCAAGGTGGAGATTGTTGATTATTGACTCAAACATGTAGTCAAAGTCTAAATCTTTGGGCTACTTTGTGGTAATGGGAGGCAAACAAGATTTGTGCCTAATTTGTGCCTAACTCCTTTTGACTTGATGGTAGGCCTTTGGCCATTGATGTCTTTGAGAAGCTTTTCTTTGGCTATAAAAGGAGAGCAAGGTGCAACCCATAAGCATGGAGAAGTAGAGAAGAACAAGGAAGAGAGAAAAATAGCAAGAAGCCATTTGGCATAGAAAAGAATTTTCTCAAATTGTCTTGCTTTGTATTTTTGGTTTTCTCTTCCTATTGTAAGTGTGAGAGCTTGGGGTTATTTGGGTTTTTGGGAAATTGAGTGATAAACACTATTGTATGTTCTCATTGATTATAGTGGAATACTCCGTCGTCTCCAAACTGGATGTAGGCATTGCCGAACCAGTATAAATCTTGGTGTTCTTGTTGATGTTGGTTTTGTTTCTGTTCTGTTTTACTATTCACTTACAGTCGAATGCCGCTTCCGCACAACATCTATCTCGTTCGTTCTCATACAAGTCACTTCAATTTTTCTTTGTGCAAGATGTATTCTACGTTTAACGTACTTTACCAGCGAAAGCACACGCAACAGAAGAATAATGAGGATTCATAAACAGCAAATGAAACGAACCATTCCAAAACCAGAAAAAGCTCCCAAATCAAAAACTCAAACATTTTCTGTGACAAATGACAATGCAAGCCCTTCATTAGATTGTGGTAAATTTCTTTGAACATCAGACCTTTACAGGTTTTGAATAATGATGCAATCAAACTGTGATGACAAATCTTTTAGTCATACAGATAAAATCATTCAATCTATGCTAATCAAAATACACATCAACTCGTATAACCCTCCTATACTTTGGCAGCAAATATCTCCTGGAGAGCAGACCAAGTTCCTGAAACCCCAAGAACAACTCCCAACACCAAAATGCTCACATCAGAGCACCATTGCCCCCACCCCATCTCACTCTTGAACACGATCAGATGAAACAGAGTCGGCACCACAAACCCTAATGTACAGCACACACCACTCCCCACCAACGACATGAAATCCGCGAAATTGGGGACCAACAATGCCACCAAGATCACTGCCAAAACCAGCACCCATCTCATCCACAAGCAATACCTCCCTCCCCAAAACCGCCTTTCGACAATCTCATACACCGGGTTCATCATTATAGGCAATGTGAAGAACACATTCACCATAAGGCCGAGCTTCACCAGGGTGCTAATCAATCCCGCGCCGTAATTAGCTGTGATCATATCCTTGGTTTGGTCCCCAAATGCAAAATAACCAAGAGCTCCAAATCTTCCATACATCAGAGAAATGAATGTCATTGTCGAAGCCAGAACCTTCCCAAACTTGTCCTTGTCTTTCGCCTCCGACTCCAATGGCAGAACCATCCCAACCCCTTCGAAGGAGTACACCGCCACGCCTAGCCCGTAGAAGAACAGAGAAAAGTCTCCAAAGGACTTCACTTCCGGCATTTATTCCAACATAACCACCACATCCTCCACCATCACAATCCCCATTGCTCCGAGATCAATCACATCAGCAAAAATACTCAACGGGGCCATATAGGTCAGTGTTGCAATCGAATTCAAGGAAGGGAAAACACCCCCAAAGCTTTTGGGTGCCAATCCTAAAATCTGGCGTGTCAATCGGATTAAACCCCTTAGGAGCATTTGTTTGCCCTCACTAAATGTCACTGGACTAGACTGGTCCTGTGTTTGATATCATGCGGGACTAGTGTTAATGAGACTAACCCGGACTCGCTAGACTAAAAGCATCACTAAAGGTTCTTAGCGGGAGTTCCCAAAAACCATGGGACTAGCTAAGAAATGCTTCTCTCCGCTCTCTGTTTCACTATCTCCTACTCTCTCCCTCTCTCCTTGCCCAGAACCCAGAATCATGAGACCTCATATCTGCTCTTCTCGTGCACATCTCGAGTTTATCGCCGAGCTCGTTGTCGAAAGACAATGCTTCTCCTCTGGTTAGATCCTCAGCTTCCTCAACTCCCTATATCGCTCTCGACCATCACCTTCATCTGTCGGGACATTGTCGGCAAACTCCACGATGCCAGCCAAAACCCAGAAGACAAAAAATACCTATCTGCCAAAACCCAAATGAAATTCAAAAGCTTGTGAAAAATCCAGAAAAAAAAAAGGAAAAAAAAAACCCATATGACAAATCAGAAGCTTTTTTTGAGAATGAATGAAAAAGAATGGAATTTGATGACAAGGGAGAAAGTGGTGAAAAAGAATGGAATTTGGTGATGAGGGAGAAAGTGGAAAGAGAGAGACAAAGAGGCAGTTGGACGGGAAGGAGAAAAAAATGGAGAGCATTCTTGAGAGAAAGGGTGTTCTAGAAAGGTAAAAGAAAAAAAATGTAAAAGATAGAATTAAATATTATTATTTTTATCATTTTAGTTTTTAATCTGATATTACATCAAACGCTTCACTAAGTTAGTACAACTTAGTCTAATCTAAATCAGTCCAGCTTAGTCCCTAAAGTTAGTCCAGTCCAAATTAATCCGGTGCAACAAACACATCCAAAATACACCCCCCCCACCCCAAAAAAAAAAAAATATTGTAATTTCACAATTAAGCCCTGGAGGCTTCGATTCAAATTTAGTTTTCGAAGTTATATACACGTACATGAATATAATCAGGTAAACTCAAGAAAGCATAAGAAATTGGATTTCGAGGCTCGAAAATGGACACCCACTTAGGGGCAACATAGTCATTTCACATCTCAGAAATAAAATACAATATTTTAAGGAACAAGATGTAACAGTATTTTGCCACTGTACAAGGATAGCTGACTCAACCATCACTTGTTGAATTTGAAAATTTGCTTGCCAGTCAAGAAGCTATGACTAAACAAATGGGATGGGTTTCGTCTAAAGGTGAGGAGGAAGCACTCTACACCGAAAAAAAGTAAGGGCAGCTTCAAACAGCATGTCAATGGTGGATCTAAAAGATATGTTGACGAGGCGAAAAGTCATCAAGGAGAAGAAAGTTCTTGGCCAAGGGGAGCTCCAAAGTATCACGGCAACCGTGGTCATTTCATGTTACTCGTGTGATTTCAATTTTACAGCAATAATTTGTGATTTCAACTTAATTTAGTGCTTGACGTTGGCCTCAAATCAAAACAATTGGTAATATTAATTAGCAGCATGCAAATGTGGAGGCTGCAACAAGATTATGGAACAGATATTGATCTTTTGAATGAAGCCGTACGTTCAACTTCAAGCTGAAACCCATCTCTTTACATCCAGTGCCACTTTGTAAAATAAACTTCAGTAAAAAGAAAAGAAGCATACCTTACACATGGGTTGGTTGTAGTACAGAACAATCAACGATTGCCAATGTCATCATCCACTTCCACTCGCTTCACTCTCATCACTTCGAATGGCTTCTCCCCCATCACTTCCACTCGCCTCAGACTCATCTTGTCGCATATCAGCCACTACTTCAGGCTCCTTCGAAATGACATCTCAGTTTAACTTCTCAGCATCGTCGGCATACAACAGGCAGATCCCACATTTTTCCACTTTCACATAGGACAGGAGTTGGTCTGGACAATTCCGTGGGCAAGAGAAGTGGACAGAGGCCTCGGTGACGAGTTTGTAAAAGTCATTGGAGAGTTTTGCTTCCTTATCAAGTTTGAAGGCGTTATACCACACATACATGTGATATGGATTGAAAATGTAGTCATGCCGTTCTCCATATCCACACGGGAAAATGAAATGACGACTGATTTCCTGGCTTTCACCGTCATTATTTTTTAAAGTGAATTTAACTCCCAACCTCAAAAGCGGATATTGGCCATATGCGACAACAACAGAGAAAGCAAAACCCAAGAACCCTGCACGAAACCAATCTGGAGGAAGCTCTATGTTTACCGAAGATCCCCCATTTTGATAGCTGAACCAAACTGGAATTTGCCTTCCCGGGCATACAATGGTAACCAAAGGCCGCCGATAAGGGTACTTTTCCTATAACATTGGTGGACATCGTATTATTTAAATGATAAGAAAATAGAAGCTGCTCCAGGTCTAATTTGTTAGAGAGCAAAGATACATTTGTATTCAATTTAATCACAAGAGTGAGAAAAACAGGGGGAGAGAGAGAGAGAGACATACATTATCCTCTTCTATAAACATGGACGATGCAGTTGCCACTCGCAAAATTCTGAGCTGTGCATCAGCCATTATGTTGCTCTTTGCATTCCGATCCAATGCTCGGCAATTAGAAAATTTAAGCACCCCAGGAAAAAGTTCGTATTTGTCCCAACATTGTACGAGTGCAGCCCTTGAACTTGACACTGTCTTCAGGGATGTGCAGCCATCTGCTTCAAGACAACATATCACCGGGAGCTCTGGTAACGATTCAAGTCTATTGCACATGATTAAGCACAGGCGAGACAGCTGAGAAGCTTGTTTTATGCTTGCGGGTATGTTCTTAATTTTGGTTCCACTTAAATCTAAATCACGTAATGAGGTTAAGCAAATGAGACCAGAAGGGATTTCGGATATACCGCTGTAACTGAGGTCTAGTACTTCCAAAGAAAGCAAACTGAAGACAGTAGCAGGAAGCAAAGTTTCAAGTTTCCAACAGGAAAAGAAGCTGAGAGTTCTGAGTTTGGTTAAACTGTAGATGCTGTTTGGGAAAAACTCAAAGTTCTTGCACAGACGAAGATCTAGTGTTTCAAGCCCAATTAGACATTTGATTGATGATGGAAGCTCTTTAACCAATGTCCCTTCTAAACAAAGAAACTCCAGATCTTTCATTAGCTCCAATATTTCAGGAAATTCGTAAAATGCAGAGCAGCCAGTGAGATCAAGTCCCTCAAGAGATTTCAACTTGCAAATGCTCGTTGGAAGGCATATAAGCTTTTCACAACCTTTCAGTCGAAGTTTTTTCAGAACATAGAGAAACTCAATTGATGAGTGTAGTTCTTTAATCGATGTTCCTTCTAAACTGAGAAACTCCAGTTGTTCCATAGGCTCCACGATTTCTGGGAAGTTATTGAATTTAGAGCAACCAGTGAGATCAAGTTCCTTAAGAGATTTCAGCGTACAAATGCCGGTCGGGAGAGTCACGAGCATTTTGCAATCTTTCAGTTGAATTGTGGTGAGACTAAAGAGGTGCTCCAGTGATGATACATGCAATACTTCTATTGTTGTTCCAGTCAAATCTAATACACTTATATCCCTGGGAAGCTCCGAAAACTCACCAAGAGAGAAACAGTGCTTTAGATTAAAAGTACCAGAGACTTTCAGCTTACATCTGCAGCTTGGAAGTTTCTTAAGGTTTCTACAATATCCAATGTTAAGCCTAGATATTTTTTCATTAGACCAAACTGATGAAGGCAATTCCGTTATACCAGTGCCTGTTAAACTTAAGAATTCAATATTGCCTGGCATCTCAGGAAGATGTTCGAGACGCATGCAACATCCAAGATTAAGATAAGTAAGCTTGTCAAGGTATTCAAAATACGAAGGTATTTTAACCAAACTTTCACAGTCAAGAAGATTTATATGCTCAAGTTTTGGACTCCGAGAGAGATTTGGCACTTCAGTTAGATCTTCGGAATAACAAAGATTGATCACTTTTAAGTTCATCAGATTCTGTAGAAAAAGTTGAAGAGAAATAGCAAGAATTAATAACTAATTATCGTGACTTTCTACACAACATTTATACATGAACTAAAATAAGAATAAATACCTTGTCGTCTTTCCAAAGCTGTTGAACATGGCTGTTGGGCATATGAAGCTCAACAAGATTTTCCGGAGAAAACTTTAAAGGCAAAGATTTCAAAGGATATCCACGCCAGTAAAGATAACGAAGAGAATTTGGAAGATGTAGAGAAACCTTTAATTTGCAGGAGTTGCCAGTCTTAGAAAAATCCACACTTAGCAATATTAGCTTAGACATCGATCTGAAATCTGCATCGTTCAATTCTAGCTCTTCAAACTCAGATCCGTTAAAGAATATGGCTTGAACCGATGCTGTTCCCTGACAATCAAGAACAAAGTATAAATGTGAATACAACATATATCCAACAAAACTTAATTGAAACTGCATTCATAGGAATCCTACTTGTTCATCAAAAGTTTGCTGGTTTTTTTTTCTTCTTAGGAAAGTGAATGCATTTGACTCTTACCGTGTTATTTCTCAATACATGATACACATCCTCAGCACTAAACAACCTACTGCGTTTTCCAGGCTCTTCAATACATTGCTCCAAAACAATTGCCCTGCCCATTTCTTGAAGTAAATCATGCATCTCTATTTTTCTCCATGTTGAAACAATTGATATGAGAGACATGTCAATGAGAACCCTAGTTCCGGATGCTACAGAGAACCCACGAATATCAAACATTTTTTTTACATCATCCATACGCTTTCCTTTATGAAAACATGCTATATCCAGAAATATCTCCTTCTCATTTTTTTCTAATTCATCATAACTTCGTCTCAACACTTTATGGATTTTTTCACTTGGAAATTGTTTCAATTTTTTCAATTCGTCTTCCCACTCTTCTTTGCTCTTGCCATGAAATGAGGACCCCATCGTTTTAAGAGCTAACGGATTGCCTCCAGAATAATCCACCACCATCAGTGATAACTTTGTATAATCTGTTGTAGGAGTGCTATTCTTGAAAGCATTCAAATGAAAGAGCTGAAGAGCTTCATCCGGTTTCAATCCCTCAATCTCATAGATCTTGTCGTCTTCAACAGTTTGCTTAAGTGTGTTCCTATCTCTACTTGTTATAATGATTCTACTTCCAGTGCCATACCGAAGATGATCGCCAGCTAGATGCTCCATTTGCATTGGATCACTCACATCATCAAGAACAACAAGGACCTTTGTACGGCTGAGTCTTTCTCGAACAAAAGTTGATCCTATGGGTAGATCTTTTTCCCTTAATATCTCACTAAGAAGTGTATTTTGCAAGCGGTCTAGTCCATTTGTTTGTCCTGATATCTCTCTAACATTTTTAAGAAAACAACAAGCTTCAAACTTAGAAGAGAGCCTGCGAAATACAGCCTCGGCGAGAGTGGTCTTGCCAATACCACCCATGCCCCAAATGCCTGCAGTGCAAACATCTACTGTATCATTCACGCATAATAACAATTCAATTTGTTCAATGTGGGTTTTAATTCCAACCAGGCCTTTTAAATAACATGACGATTTGCGAATCAATATGTTCCAAATAGCGTCGACAACTTTCTTAACTAAGTCAGCCTCCGTCCTGGCATATAGAATTATGAAGGACAAACAATTGTTTATAAGTACAAACTTCCTTAATGAATCTAGTATGAATAGAAAAACTTTTGAGTGCATGCAGAAATTTGTATAATTAAGTTAGGGAGTTAGTTACCCTGTTTTGCTGGAATGATCAAATCCAGATATACCGGATGCTTCTTTCAAAGCGGCCCTCCAGTTGTGCACCTTGTCATTCCTGTTCTTGAAACGTTTCTCAAGTTGAGAAAATGCATCTGCATAACTCCCCTGTTGTTTTCGTACATCTGATGGGTTGATGTCGTAAAAAATAGGTATAACCATCTGCCCATATTTTTCCTTGCGCTTCAGCATATGTACCAGTTCATCCAAACACCAAGAGGAAGAAGCATAGTTTCGTGAGAAAATGACTACTGAAACCGTAGATTTCTCGATTGCTTCTAGAAGGGCAGGTCTGATGTCGGCTCCTCTATTAAGTCTGTAATCTATGTATGTTTCGATTTTCTTCTGAAGTAAGGCCTCATGAAGATGGCTGGTGACACCAAGGCGGGTGTCCTCACCTCTGAAACTAACAAAGACATCGTACTTTTCACGAGGAAGGGGGATATCACCATCATCATCATCATGATCGGTAGCAGCAGAAGAATCCCGAGAAGAAAATGTTAATGATCTGCACCACATGTACAGTAGAGTCATGATGGTGATGAAAACTTGACAGAATCCGATGAACTCCATCTCTACTGTATCTAACACTGAAAATCAAGCAAATGAAGCGAGTAATTGGTTATAGATAGACGAAAGAACATCTGATATTTGAGATGAACGGGATAGAATAGAACTAGAGCAGATTTTACTTCACCAATAGTAGTAGTTGACTTGAGTTGACATTGACTATTTGCACAAATTGGTTACAAACACGTACTCCCGAAAATTCAACAGACATGAGTATATAGAAAGTAGAAGGGAAGTTGCCCAAACCCTTCCTCTGAAGAAAATATACATTCAAACTTTGAAAGCATTCACGCCATTCAAATGGAATCCTTATCAAGTTGTCTGATTAATATCAATATCCATGGGACCCAAGAAGATACAAAAATGGTGCAACAAGTCCAGACTTGTGGTGTTGTATACTCCAGGGTTTAACTTTTACAGCAAGTAATAAAGTCAGCAACCAGCCAACCCCACATCTCCTCCTCCTCCTATCAGATGTACCCAGAACCCTCGTACATGGACCATGACCAGTTCAACTGCTTGCAAAAGTCTCGCACCTCCTCTCCTCCTAGTTCTGCCAAGTTGCCCCTTCGAGAGAGAGAGAGAAAGTGAGAGTGAGAGTGAGAGAGAGAGAGAGAGAGAGAGAGAGAGAGAGAGATTAAACTTTTCCGTTGAACTACAGACAGGTTATTATTGTTCAAGGTGAATGGAATAGCAGTATTATCGAATAGAAAGAGATAAGTTGGAGTTGGTTGCTTAAGCGGTATAGTGATTGCCAAGTTAGAGCATTTCTCGAAAAGAAAAGAAACATACCTTACATTGGTTGTATCAAGGTCGAATTCAATTGACAATTTTACATGGCTTCATAAGTTCATACTCATCACTGCCACTCTCCTTCTCCTTCATGATCTCCTATTATTACTGCTTCTGCGAAATGACACTGAATTATAATTTCTCAGCATCTTCGCCGTTCAACAGGTGTATGCCACACTTTTTGACCCTCACGTACGAAAGGAGTTCATCAAAAGTATTCAGTGGGCAAACGAAATGAACAGAGGCCTCGGTGACAAGTTTGTGAAAATTAGTGAAGCATTTCGCTTCCTCATCAAGTTCAAAGGCATTATACCACACATGCATGTGATATGGATTGAAAATGAATGCGTTCACACCCTTCATCATATTCAGACGGAAAAATGAAAGGATTACTGATGTCACGGCGTTCACCACAGTTACTTTTGAAATTGAATTGGACTTTCAACCTCAAAAGTGGAATCAGAAGATATAGGTCGTATGCAATAACAGAGCATAACAAATGTGTACATTTACTATAAAAGAAAATTGGGTACTTTTTATATACAAAAAACCGGTACATTTTAGATTACAAAGTCGGTACATTTTCTGTTCCATATCTTCTTCCACTTGTTCTTTCCAGAACTTGAGATCATTTTTAATTTCACAGCATCTTCGGCAATTCCACTGACGTCGGACTCGTCACTTGATTCTTCACGCTCATCACTTCTACTGGCTTTAGGCTCATAATGCTTCTGACTCATGTGATCCCATGTACTCTTCAGCTTCTAATTCCCTTCACACGACATCAAATTTAAATTTCACAGCATCTTCGCCGTGCAACGGGCAGACACCACACTTTTCCTCCATCACAAGAAACAGGTTGGCTGGAATTATCGAGAGGGAAGAAGTGAACAGACGCAGCAGTGACAATTTAATAAAAATCAGTGGAGCATTTCGCTCCCTCTTCAAGTTCAAAGCCATTATACCACACATGTACATGATGTGGATTGATATCATACTAACTTTCATCACATGAAAATTTGTAAGAACAACTGATTTCACGCATTTTGCCATTATTCATTGTGAAATTGAACTTGACTCCTAAGCTGGAATCCATATGTCGGTGGAATGCAACAACAATGAAAAAGAGAGGTTTTGAAGCCTGTTCAAAACCAATAGCGATGAAGCTTGACTTTTATGGAAGATCCCTCATTCTGATAGCTGAACCGATTTGAAATTTCATACCCCTGACATATGATCGTAATATTCCTACTCGTGAGAAAATAGCAGCCGTGTACTCCAAGAGAAGTGCATGTGTATGTGTGTGTGCACGCACGCGAGAAAGGGAGACTCCAATCCAATGACGCAGTTGCCACTTGCAGAAGTCTAAGCTGTGCATCGGCCATTATGTTGCTCCTTTCATTCCAATCCAATGCTCGACAATTATAAAATTTAAATTCCCCTCGAAAATGTTCATATTTATCCCAACCTTCTATGAGTGTAGTCCTTAAACTTGACAGTCTTCACTGATGTGCAGCCATCCGCTTCAAGGAGTTGCAACACTGGAAGCTCTGGAAGAGATCGAAGCCTCTTGCAATTCACTAAGAGAAGGCGAGACAGCTGAGAAGCTTGTTTGATGCTTGCAGGTATGCTCTTAATCATGGTTCCACTCAACTCTTAATCTCATAATGAGGTTATGCAAATGAGGGTATCAGGGTCTCACCATCTTGTTTTCTTCATGTATGTAGCGCAAATATTTGTTGTTGTGGTTTGATTTCAGCACAACAAACCTCGGCAGAGTTGGCATTTTGATTCTCTCTTTCTAGTTTCTATCCCGTTCGTTCTCAAACAAGTCACTTCAATTTTTCTTTGTGCAAGATGCATTCTATGTTTAACGTACTTTACCAGCATGCAACAGAAGAATAATGAGGATTCATAAACAGCAAATGAAACAAACCATTAAAAAACCAGAAAAAGCTCCCAAATCAAAAACTCAAACATTTTCCGTGACAAATGGCAATGCAAGCCCTTCATTAGATTGTGGTAAATTTCTCTAAACATCAGACCTTTACAGGTTTTGAATAATGATGCAATCAAACTGTGATGACAAATCTTTTAGTCATACAGATAAAATCATTCAATCTATGCTAATCAAAATACACATCAACTCGTATAACCCTCCTATACTTTGGCAGCAAATATCTCCTGGAGAGCAGACCAAGTTCCTGAAACCGCAAGAACAACTCCCAACACCAAAATGCTCACATCAGAGCACCATTGCCCCCACCCCATCTCACTCTTGAACACGATCAGATGAAACAGAGTCGGCACCACAAACCCTAATGCACAGCACACACCACTCCCCACCAACGACATGAAATCCGCGAAATTGGGGACCAACAATGCCACCAATATCACTGCCAAAACCAGCACCCATCTCATCCACAAGCAATACCTCCCTCCCCAAAACCGCCTTTCGACAATCTCATACACCGGGTTCATCATAATAGGCAATGTGAAGAACAGATTCACCACAAGGCCAAGCTTCACCAGGGTACTAATCAATCCTGCACCGTAATTAGCCGTGATCATATCCTTGGTTTGGTCCCCAAATGCAAAATAACCAAGAGCTCCAAAGCTTCCATACATGAGAGAAATGAATGTCATTGTCCAAGCCAGAACCTTCCCAAACTTGTCCTTGTCTTTCGCCTCGGACTCCAATGGCAGAACCATCCCAACCCCTTCGAAGGAGTACACCGCCACGCCTAGTCCGTAAAAGAACAGAGAAAGGTCTCCAAATGCCTTCACTTCCGGCATTTTTTTCAACATAACCACCACATCCTCCACCATCACAACCCCCATTGCTCCGAGATCAATCACATCAGCAAAAATACTCAACGGGGCCAAATGGGTCAGTGTTGCAATCGAATTCAACCCCAATTGGAAGGGAAAACACCCCCAAATGTAGAAGCTTTTGGGTGCCAATCCCAAAATCTGGGGTGTCAAATCGGATGCTGTGGGTGCATTGAGCAAATGTGCTAAAGTATTGCCGATGAAAATGAGATACCCGACGCAGAACCCGGCCTGAGCGAGAATGATCAGAACATCCACCAGCAAGCGCCCCCAAACGCCGCAGACGGCGAAACCCAAATCCCCAAAAGACGGGATCTTTGTGAACCCATTGGAAGACTCGAGCTTTCTTCTGGTATAAACAATCAGCATCATGCAATGGTGGGTGAGGAACGCAACGAGTAGGAGCGTGAGGAGGCTCATGAGCCACCCGGTGCGCTTGAAGGAATACGGGAGGCCAAGAACGCCGGCTCCGACGACGGCGATAAAGACGTTGGCGAAGGTCTTGGATTGGGACGACAGCGGCTTGGGGTCTCCGATCAGCGGCGTGTTCTCCGTCAGGGGCGGCTGCCTGAGACGCTGGGACGAGGAGGTTGCCTCCTTGTCGCCACCCATGTTTTGATCGCTGTGTTGATTCTCGACCCTGAATTAACAAAAGATAAAGATCAATAACAAAAGTCGGGGGTGATGGTGTGGTGGGGCCTTGGGGGGGGGGGGGGAGAGTCTTGAAAGATTTATACGTTTGGAAGTTGCCAAAAGATTGGGGAAAATATGGGAGGGGAGTTACGGATAACTAACCGTGATGCGCTTAGTTTGTTTTTGTTTATATTTTCACCTGATTGCTGTCTGGGATATTTTCGCTTTGGAAAGAGATTTTTTTTTTTATCCCTTCATTCTAATCTATCAAACATGTCCAACCTTTACTCACATTCGAGACAACACTCCCAACAGGATTGCTTGCTCCAAAATCGAAGAGGCACCGCCCTCCGAATCTCGAGAGCCAGACTCCCAACATGATTACTTCCTCAAAAATCGAAGAGACACTGCTCTACGAATCTCGAGAGCCAGACCCCCAGCATGATTGCTTTCTCAAAAATCGAAGAGGCATCGTTCTCCGAATCTCGAGAGCCAGATACCACAGACCACTTTTTCAAAGTGCTCTGACAGAGTTAAAACATGTGAAACTGGCAGCTCCCACTACCGTGCTATGATCAAGCAGGGTAAAGGAATAGCATTACTACTTGTTGTTAGGGAGACTCCTATATATGTCGACCTCCATCCCCAACGGACAGGCAGACCTGCAAAAATGCTCAACCCTTCATCATATCTGAGAGGGCACTCCCAACGAAGCCTTTCGAAATATTCAGCTTTCTTTCCCCCCGATAATACCTCTGCAAACAAGCTATACTAGAGCAAGAATATCTCATATCATCAGGGTTAAAAGCAAAGAGTATCCCATATCATGCTTTTTCCCTGTCTTTTCCTTTTGGCCTTGTTTTTACCTGCAAGACAAGGAGAAAGAGAGCAATCAGTCAGCACTTGGAATCAAGCTTCCAGCCAGGAATTGACTGCCTGGAACCCCTTACCTGATTACTTACCTGGCATTGCTCTCGAGTACTCATCTTCAACATCTTATGTTTCCAGGGAAGATTCCGCATCTGCTTGAGGAACAGATAGGGCAAGTGCGAAGGATACAAGGAAGCATGTGGAGACAAGCGTAATAGCACACGTGCCGATACACCCATTACTCTGTCAAAAGCAAAAGTATCCCATATCAGCAGGGTGGAACGTACTCTAGATTTGATGGACTTGTTTTTGACCCTCAAATTCTTCAGTCGGCCTTATACTCTGGAGGAAACCAGAAAACCCTCCAGCTCAGTTCAAGAATAAGCCTGTGGAAAGTTACTTCTTCAAAAGCAAAAGTATCTCATATCATCTCTTCTCATTTTTCTTCTCTTTATCCTTCATGCTGCTGCAAGATGGGGAGAAGGTGAACAATCAGTCGGAGCTCTGATTGCTTACCTTGTCTGTCACCTCTTTCAGCAGACCCCCTAGCTCGACGACTTGGGGGACTCCTACTACATGGTTTGTATCGCGCTTGACCAAGCCTGAGACTACAAGTAAGCTTCAAGTGAAATTGATACATTACCTTGTGCATCTCCACCAGTTAAAGATACCACACCTGGATGGAGGAAGAGTACTTCCAGAGAAGATGTCACATCTACCTATGAGACAGATAAGGCAAGTCAAGACGACACCACACTCCGATACTTAGAAGTTTCGTGATTACGAGATCATTCTCCCACAATATTTCCTAATGTCATTTGTACTAAATCATTCACTTGTACTCACTAAAGGAGAGCTTGAACCTATGTACTTGTGTAAACCCTTCACAATTAATGAGAACTCTTCTATTCCGTGGACGTAGCCAATCTGGGTGAACCACGTACATCTTATGTTTGCTTTCCTATCTCTATCCATTTATATACTTATCCACACTAATGACCGGAGCAATCTAGCGAAGATCACAAAAGCGACCGTTTTCGCTACCTAGGATCTATCTTGCAAGAGAACGGAGAATTAGATGGAGATCTCAACCATAGAATACGAGCTGGATGGATGAAGTGTAAGAGTGCATCCGGCGTTGTTGTGTGACCGTCGTAGGCCACTGAAGCTCAAGGGAAAATTTTATAGGACGGCAATAAGGCCAGCGATGTTGTATGGCACAGAATGTTGGGCGGTGAAGCATCAACACGTACACAAAATGGGTGTAGCGGAGATGAGGATGCTTCGTGGGATGTGTGGGCACACGAGAAAGGATAAGATTGGGAATGAGGATATCCGAGGTAAAGTAGGAGTAGCCGAAATTGTAGGAAAGATGAGAGAAAATCGGCTCCGATGATTTGGACATGTGCAAAGAAGACTGACTGACGCTCCGGTTCGAAGATGTGACTACGGGACAGAGGTTCAGGGCCAAAGGGGTAGAGGAAGACCTAGGAAAACTTTAGAAGAGACTCTAAGAAAAGACTTAGAGTACTTGGATCTAACGGAGGACATGACACAAAACCGAGCGCAATGGCGTTCTAGGATTCATATAGCCGACCCCACTTAGTGGGAAAAGGCTTTGTTGTTGTTTGTTGTATTCTAATCTATCAAATTAAGGAATCTGTACGGCTGAAAATTGATTTAACGGCTACAAACAAGGATTCACTTTAAAGTTATAGTAACTTCAGCCGTTTGATCAAAATTCAACGGTACAGATTCTCTGATTTAATAGATTATGAGGAAATGATGCGGAGATGATCTCTTTCCTTTGGCTTTAGAGTTTTAGAGAGTTTGATGGATATACATGGAAATTACTTATTTTTCATTTAACTTAATTAAGCAAAAAAATGAATGATAACTATGTAACCAATCCTTAACAAACACAACTTATAATAGGGGATTTTAGAAATAATAGTAATCCCCCTACCCATATGACATTACGTTTGCCTCAAATTTGTCACGGTTTCACTTATCTTTTTACTGTTAGAGAATAAGTCATATGAAACAGATATTACATATTGATTAGAGATAAATTGTTCTCTTTAGATTAAAATACGAGTTAACATCGCCACCTAATATTTCTTTTTGTATCATCTACTAAGTCTTTTGCGATTATGATCTACAAAATAAAGTTCGATTACAAAAGGATGTCAAATATTAGCAATGCACTGTAGTGCAATTATGATCTCAAACATTTGATTTGAGTAATACAATTGAGGCATTTCAAAGTTCTTTCATATGTATTGTATTTCCTCTTCTTTTTTTTTTCGTGCAAGGTGTTGCTCTGTTGATTTAACTGCTACTCTTGTTGCTATCTGGTCAGAAATTTCAGAAATTAAGCCTCTTTTGTGATGAATGGATGATAAATTAATTTGGTTGCCTTCTTCTGATAGTGCACTTTATCCATGGCTTATGATTTTAAGCCAAGGAAACAATTAGTTGTTACTCGGGATAGATGGGTTTGGTGTCAATATTTTCATCCGTGTAACTCTATTATTTTATGGCGATTTCTTGATAGAAAGCCTTTAACTGATGACTTATTGCTTCGTCACGGGTTCTCATTTGCATCAATGTGTTCTTTGTGTTGTCAGTTTTTTTAATCTCCGTTGACGGGCTTTCCACTCTCCGAGTGCTTGGAGTGCATGACAGGGCTTAGAGGGTGACCTAAATCCATGAGGTTCTTTGACGTTCTCCTTGTGCATTTGAAGTCAAAGTAAATACTATTGGTTAGGTTTGTGGTTCTCCAGGCAATGCTAAATTTGGTGCTATTTCCCGAGACCATTTGGGTCATTGTCTAGGGTGTTTTGTGGGTTCTTTCAATATTGTTACTAGATTGGAGTCAAAGCTTAAGGATATTATTCATGTTGTCAGTATGAATGCGGAAAAGAGTTGATATTTTCATTGGATTGAGTGTGATTCTACTTTGGCAGTGCATTTTCTTTCAAATACATTTATTTAGGTGCTTTGGCGTTTATAGGTTGATTGGTCCAACTATTGTACCAATCTCTCTTCCATGAGGATTCAAGTTTCTCATATATATCCTGAAGGTAATCAGGCGGTTGATTGTTTAGCCTACTTTGGTGTAGATAGTGTTGGGATTCTTGTCCTTCGTGTGCAATTGCAGCTTTTGTTCATGATCTCTTTAGAAAAACAAATGAAAAATGGAACCTATCGGGCCTATATTAAACCCAAAGCCCATTTCATTTCTTCCTTTCAGCCCAGAAGGCCCATTTCACATTTCTGGTCCCAACAAAGGAAAAATGGGACTGTCATCACTGTGCTTCGAGCAAGAACAGCCGGCGCAGGTTAGCAAGTCATGAAACTTGACTGCCAATAAATTAAACGCGATCAAATTTCACCAAACATCAAAACAATGAAGAAAATTCTCTGCAATCCTTGATCTTTATAATTCCATCCGGTTCAAATTCATATGAGATCGGAAGCTCCCGTAATTTGTTTTCGCACCAAATTTAAACAAAATGAAGAAAATTCTCTGTGATTTTCGGTTCCTCCTGTTTCTTGCAGCGGCGGCGTTCATCTATATTCAGGTGGGCACCCCAAAACCCTAATTCTCACACGAATATATGGTATTGAAATGTTATATGGAGTTGTTGCTGCAGTAGTTGAAAGAAATGACTGCTAAATTTTCTTCTGTTTGTGTTTGTGTGTCTGTTTGGTTGCAGATGCGGCTTTTCGCTACGCAATCGCAGTACGCTGATCGCCTCGCGGATGCGGTATGTCAAAATTATGAGTCTGTTGTTGTATCAGAGTAGTTCATGAGAAATTCGTCTGCAATTTGAACTCTTTTTATTTATTCATTTGATGAGAAATGTGAATTAAGTTGCACATTGCTTAGGAGGATCAATTTATGTTATTGGTTTGTTGCCTGCTTAAAGAAATTGAGCAAAAGAAGCAATTTTTACACAGTTTCACATCTGTATTGAGTAATTTTCGATGTTAATATTTCTTTATGTCTCTTTGTTAATGTTACTTTGAGACCAGCAAGATGGGTCATGCTTGTATTTCGGGAACCATAAGGCGTATTTATGCGTTTGAAGCTTCTACAGTAAAAAGTTGGTTACTTTATCTTGAATGACATCTGTTTTCGTTTTGCAGATAGAGTCAGAGAACCATTGTACATCTCAGTTGAGGACATTTATTGATCAAATAAGCTTGCAACAAGGACAAATTGTTTCCCTAGACGGTGTGACTCTCTTAGATGTTTGTTTTTAGTTTTTACCCTATATGGTGCACGACAATTATCCTTTCTTTAGTCCTGTACTAATGAGTACGCTTTAAACTTATCAACTATGCTGTGCATATTACCGTAATTTTTGCTAGTCTAGTATCTGTGTCATTTTCCAAAATTTAGTTTTGATTTGCCTTCACTGTCATATATATTTTAAGGTAGCAACATGGTTTCTGGAGGTGCTTATTCCTTTTGTGGCTTCTTTGTCAAAGCATACTATGGATACCCATTCTACTGTAATTTATCTGGATCAGATCTGGTTATTGTGTTGATTGCATAGTACTTTTTTTACTCTTTGGTAGTCGGTTGGTTTTGATGAAATTCTTGTCCGTATATGTTTTTTTTTTTCTGTAAGATTCTGGTTTTCTATAAATAAAAAAAAAAAAGTGATGACATACTTTTTTTGTTCTGTTTTTTTCAATTCTGACATTAGACTGCTGCAATTGTAGAAGAAAAGCAACGGCTAGAGCAAGAGTGTGGACAACTGAAGGTCCTAGTACAAGAACTTGAAAGTATGTGGTTATTAGACAAAATCCTTTTCTTATAGTGGTATAAAGAAGCACCTCCACTTACTTATTTTCTAGTCTTGTAAGATATCGTGTGTGCTTTCATGCCATGTATATAGTATTAGTCAATTAGAAGAACAAAATAAGTGGGTTTCGGTGATTCATTACAGATACTATATAGTAATATAAAATCCTTTTTGTAAACCAGAATTAGGCTAGGTGAATGTATTTGAAATGGATTTCATATAACTACAGACAACAAATCATTTGAAGGCCATGTGTTTTCTTCTTCAAATATAAATACAAACAGTTATTTATTATAATAGTCCCTTCAACCAATTTAACTAGTTATATTAATTAAACTTTTAGATTGAATCCCCTTTCTCTTTTTAGTACTTTTTTTTGCCATAACACACTCCAATGAACTTAGGATTATTATTTTCTCACCTTTTTTTTTTCAGGGAAAGGCCTAGGTCGGCTGATTGACAAAAACCAGGTGCCAGTGGCAGCAGTTGTAATTATGGCATGCAATCGTGCTGATTATCTGGAAAGGACTGTGAAGTCTGTTTTAAAGTAAGTTTCGTACATACACTGCCCAGCACAGTTTTCAAATTTGTACCGACTCACTGGCCTAATTATCCAATTATCCAGATATCAGAGTTCTGTTGCCTCAAAGTTTCCTCTATTTGTCTCCCAGGTATCATGTGCTTATTTTTGGTATAACATTATGGGTGTCATTGACACTTCTTGTTCTTTAGAAGTTATCTTGTAGAGAATCAATTGCTCAACATGGTAACTTCATTTTTCATAGGACGGATCGCATCCAGCTGTCAAACAAAAGGCTTTGAGCTACGATCAGCTTACCTATATGCAAGTAAGTTTTATAATCAAACTGTATATCCTTGATGCTGGAAACGCACCAGGATAGCCATCAACTCTGACTTCAATAAATTGCAGCATTTGGATTATGAACCAGTTCATGCTGAAAGACCTGGGGAGTTGATTGCATACTACAAAATTGCGCGTAAGGATTCTTTGCTTCTTCAGGTATATTAGCCTCACTACTACATCTTACCATTACATCCCTATATTTTTAGGTCATTACAAATGGGCATTGGATGGATTGTTCTACAAGCATAAGTTCAGCCGCGTAATCATACTTGAAGGTGAAAACAGTGTTCCTTGGATTATCTTGTCGATCTTTTTACTTTATTTTGTTTCCACCCAAAGTATTAAACAATCCATCATCCCTGAACACAGATGATATGGAAATTGCTCCTGATTTTTTCGATTATTTTGAGGCTGCAGCAGCTCTTCTTGACAAGGATAAGTATGTCTTCTAGATGAATCCAAGGTCTTATGACTTGAATACATATTATATAAATGTTCCGAACTCCAGAAATTGACTTTTCCTCACTTTTTTTAATGTTGTATATTAAACTGTGGTAGGTCTATCATGGCCGTTTCTTCGTGGAATGACAATGGGCAAAAACAGTTTGTGCATGATCCTAGTGAGTTCTCATTAATTTTTCAAGTTAATCTTCATAAGATTGGAATAAAGCATAATACAACTTTTATTATTTCAAGACCAATTGCATAATGTAGTATTAAGATCCCTATCCGACACCCCCTTTTTGTTGTCCTCTGTGACTGGAGTGAGAAAATGTTTTTGTTTTTGTGGGAGAACCAATGCTTATTTAGGCATGTTTGTTCAGGTTCCTGGCTCATGTAGGTTTGTAACATTTTGCTCGTATTTTTAAGGTTTGACAATTATTTTTGCATCTAGGTCTTCTGCTACATTATCTAACCTTATCAGTTAACATATTACATTATTATCATCTTATCAACAAGTGCATACATCCTCAGTATCTTTCACCGATGTTTGGGCACAATACATTGACAGCTATCTGAAATAGAACTGTCAGAGCCATTATGCTTTCTGATCTGCTGTCTGATTCACTGTGCAGAAATACTTTATAGATCGGATTTCTTTCCTGGACTCGGGTGGATGCTGGCTAGATCTACATGGGATGAGCTATCACCAAAATGGCCAAAGGCATATCCTTGTTGCTGAAATGACTTTCGTTTTGATTTACACTTCTCTATGCTTTTAAATTTAGATCCATATCCTCTAAATGTTTGCTTTCACAATGCTTCACTTACTGGGATGACTGGTTGAGGTTACAAGAGAATCATAAGGGTCGACAATTTATTCGGCCAGAAGTGTGCAGAACATATAATTTTGGAGAACATGTATGTATTCTTACTTTTTCTTGTTCATTGCCTCCCAACCTTAAGCATTATATAGTGCAAGCAGTCACACCTTTACTTTTCTAACAATTCAGTGAATTAGTTTATTGATTTCTGAACCGACTTTATTTAATATATATCCCGGTAGTCAGGAAGTCTTATCTTAAAGTGGTTCTTTGTTCCTTGATACTGCAAACATTGTTAGAGGAATAGATTTCATAAAGTTGGGAGTTATCTTAAAGTGGTCCTTTGTTCTTTGAAAATGCAAACAATGTTAGGGGAACAACTTCTGAGTTAAAATGGTTCTCCCATCTTTTTATTGCCGTATATAACTTCCTTATTTAATCCCTATATAGTAGTTTTGCATTGTGATTAACTTAACCTAAGTGATATTGTCAAGTTCAATGGCTTTAAAATAGTCCTCCCCCCCCCCCATTCCTCGTAGGATTGTCAAATTTCTCATGCTTCATTTCTCATGTCATGTAATGCAGGGTTCTAGTCTGGGACAGTTTTTCAAACAATATCTTGAGCCAATCAAGCTGAATGATGTCCCGGTAATTACCAATCTCTCTTCTGTATCATTCCTCTACTCTTAATTTTATCCTTATCATTATTCAACATTTTCATATCGAATTACTCTTTTCTACCTTTTGCTTCTAAAGGTTGACTGGAAATCAATGGATTTGAGCTACCTGATGGAGGTAATGGATGCTTTAATACATTGGCGGGAATGCTCTTTCTTTACATCTATAATCAATACATTTTTCAACCTGTTTGCAGGACAAGTATTTAAAACACTTTGCTGACATTGTGAAAAAAGCTAAACCTATCCATGGATCTGATCTTGTACTAAAGGCACGCAACATTGGTGGTGATGTTCGCATACAGTACAACGACCAGCCAGACTTCGAATACATTGCTGGCCAGTTTGGTATTTTCGAAGAGTGGAAGGTCATTTTTCTTTTTTATTGTGCAACTTTCCTTCAATTATCATTGAAATTAGGAATAATGCATTTGATTTTATGACTGGAGAATTTTCAATTCGATAAGTCCTTTCTCCATTAAGTATGAAAGTAGCTCTGGAAATAAAATGCGCTAAATGTCTCTTTAAACCCCAGTTGTTAAATTATCAATCTGAAGTTGATTGTTTGTGATTCCTTTGTTTTCAGGATGGTGTACCACGGACAGCATATAAAGGAATAGTTGTTTTCCGGTACCATATCCCACAACGTATATTCCTTGTTGGTCCAGATTCTCTCAAGCAGCTCGGAGTTAATGATTCTTGATGCAAAGTTGAGGTTAGTATGGTTCAAATTGCCGCCATTTTCTGCTCAAAGTTTTGAAGTTTCACAAATTAATAGCATCTGAGAGTTTTCTTGTCTTCTTTGCCGGACAGTGTTCATAAGGAGAAAACATTGCTTCCGAAGTTCAAGAACTTGAGGTTCATGCTAAACGTATGTTCTTGAATCACAAGTGCAACTCATACCAAAATCGATAACCAATGCTAACTAAACCTAGATGAGAGCCAGGTGCGTTTTTCGTGATTCGAGCTCTGCATCCAGCTATGTCTTCACTCTCGTGTAATTTGAGTTGTTCGGAAACTTTACCGGGTTACCACATTCAACGAGTAGCAGTCTCCATATTCAGTTGGTCTTTAGGTGGTAGTGTCCAATCTTTTTTAAGTGTTGAAAGTTTTGAACATTTTTGTTTCCTTAACAGATACTGTTCCCTTCTGAAAGAAGATTGTAATCCTAATCCTTCATGTATGATATTTTGACAGAATGTACTCTTGTAGTAGTAGCATACAGAATTCCAAAATATTACTTTTTATTTCTTTGTTAAAATTATTATTTATTTAATTTTAACAAACTTGTGACCATTGGAAAAGTGTCATGACCTTCTTCTTTTTTTTTTTTTTTTTTTTTTTGTTAATTTACTAAATTTGAAAATGAAAAAGAAAACAAAATTGACCATGTTCATACTCTATTTGTCAGAACAAACAATATTTTACACCAATTTACATTACGAGAGAGGGAAGGGTTTGAAATCGAAACGCAATGCTCTAACCACCAAAATGATCTAACACTTACCCAAATATATTTTGGAAACCGAGTGAAAAGATATTGTCTATTCCATTTGAAGGAAAATAAATAAATAGATGTCTCTATTTACAAACTCTCCAATTCCCCCTTTTATTTATTTTTTTTTTTTTTTTAACAAATGATATTAGGAAAACCTACGAAAAAAGAAAGCACTGCCAATCCAAAGCCTCAACTATAATACAGACTTCCCCTTCCATTAATTACATTACAACTTACAAGCCACAATTTCCAATTCTTTCTCTTTCCACGTTCGATCACTCTGTCAAGTAGTAGTTGCTTAGAAAGCAAGTTAGGGTTTCCAAGTTAGAGTTCTACAACTTTGGGATCGGTAAAGATGGCTGCTGTAGTTATGCGTCCTACCAAGGCGGAGCAATTCGACTTCCTTCAACTGAGGCATCAACTGAAAGATCGCATTCGCATGAAGAAATCAAGAGGCTCTGATGCTGCTCACGGATGCTCCGTTAGTAGTACTACTGATGATAACAAGAAGAAATTGCCTTTCGACAACTTTGGATTCTTCTTCGGCCTATCGGAACATGTTATGGCGAAGAAAGTGAGCGAAGAGATGAAGGATTTTGTGCCGGAGTTGAAGAAGTTGGCCTCTAGGGTTTTGAGTTCCGGGACAAGGCTAAAACCGGCATAAAGAGTCCTGCCCCCTTGAGCAAGGCATTGAAGTGTAAAATCATCTAGGAGTCCCGGGATTATTCCTTTTTGCAATCTGACGGTGCAGAAATTCCGAAGCCTTCTAAAGGAGAGCATGAAGAAGTTGGAAAAAGCAAATCCTCCTCGGCAAAGTCTGAATCCTCTTCAACAAAGCAATGTAGCATGAAACCAATGCCGAAACAGAACAAACCTGTCCTGAAACATTCAATCAAATATCGTTTGAAGGAGGAGCGTCCGGAGGTTGTGATTGGCAAAGCCAGACCGTCCTTGGCAAAGTCAGAGTCTTGTTCAACAAAGCAAGGCTTGAAGCACACGAAGCAATCTGTTGACCCGAAATGCATAGCAAAGCCGATGCTAAAACTGAAAAAGTCTGTCTCGAGAATCAGGTCAAAGACCGTGTGACGGAGGAGCAATCAGTTGATGTTTCTTCTGTGATCCAGAAGATATTTGGGTGTAACCGTAAGCGCCCTAGGGACGATGATGACGGAGATGATCGTGCGATGGTGCCCACAATTGATGACATTCTGAACGAAGAGAGGAAGAGTGCAAAAATCGCGAAGGAGGAAGATGAAAGAGAGCGGTTGCTGCTCGAAAAAGAGGAGAAGCAAGAAGAAGGGTTAAGAGCAACAAAGAAGCTGAAGCTGAAGATTAAGATCAAAGTTTCGAAAAACTGATGTTGTTCCATTTAGATTTTGGAGATTTTATTTATTCAGAAAATTGGATTTCATTTCCTTAATATCAAGTGCTTTTTAAAGAAATTGATCTTAATGTAAGATTTTATTTTTAAGGAAATTATTGATGCAAGTTGCCTGATAATTTCCAATTTACAGTCTTTGCACTTTACCACTTTTTTTTGTCACTGTCTTTTGTGAAGTGAACTAGTTGCTTTTAGAAAAAGTTAGGGTTTCAAACTGCTGAAGTTTTGCATCCTGCCGACGTGGAGCAATTTTCCTTTCAACAAATAAAAGAGACGAGAACCTGACATGAAGAAATTAGGAGGCTCTGCTGCTGCTCAAGGCTTACTCGGACAGTATCGATAACAAGAATTTTCCTTTCAACAACTTTGGATCCCACTTTAGCGCCGGGAAGCCTGTCATGTTTTAAAGGTTGAATAAAGAGATGAAAGCTTTCATGCCGGATATAAAGAGGCCGGCTTCTATCCTTTTAATTTCGGAGACTTGGTATTCCTCCTTGCTAGAAGTACTGGATGAAAAACCATTCTTGAACATACAGGTTAAAAGCAGTGTGATTAAGGAAACATTACGACGCAATCATAAGCGACTTGGGAGGATGATGACAGAAATAAGAAAAAAAAAAGTGGCAACAATCAAGAAAACTCCATCTTCGTCTTGTTCCAACGTTCCTTGTGCCGCAAGCAATGTCGATGTTAAGCAATTGGAAAATGTGGAGGACTGTTTCGTCTCAGACTTCGACCCATCTGAGCCGGTGACTCAGTTATCCAAAATATCCGTGACGTCCGATGATATTGCTGCTGTTGGTGAGAGAGGCAGATTGCTTGTAGAGATTATCCGCATTCGAGGCACCTCTGTGTGAAATTCCCTTTCGAAACAACGCCTCATGAAAGCTACTGCAAATTGGAAGGTACTAAATTTAGAGGACTTTGTTAACCACACTGAGTGGTCCAGTGGTTGGAGACGAATCTCAGGCCCGCATTCTATACGGCACATCTTGGGTTCAATTCATGGTACTAGTAAATTACACGATGATGGCCAAAAGATACTGAAATACTCCCCGTCCCGAAAGGAAAGACTGTCATGACAAAACCACCAGCTAGTCCCTTAATAAAAAATAAAAACTTTAGAGGACTTTGTTAATTATTTATGTTTTTTCTTTTTTTTTTTGGTGAAATATTTATGTTTTGTTAGAAGAGGAAAAAGTTTATATTTATACCAACCTATTACGACATGTCGTTCTCATTGAATTGAAGTCGCCTTGCACCTAAAAACCTAAACCCTTACGCTCACTCTCTCTTTCAGTTCCCGTTCCCGCCGAGCTTTTACCAGAAGCAGCCATGGCCTCCATCCTCTCCAAGAAGCAGAAGCAGAAGCAAAAAAGCACCAAGCTTTCCGACCTAAAAACACTAGGGAACCAGCTCCTCTCGTCCCGGGCCCACATCAACAACCTCCCGAAGCTCCTCTCCTTCGTCTCCCCGGCCTCGCCGCCTCAGTTCGTCGTCGAGTCCCTCCTCTCTCTCCAGTCCTTTTTTACCCCTCTCCTCCCCGACCTACCTCCCTCTTCCTCCAAGCCTTCCGCCGCCGATGGCTCCCACGACGACCCCGACTTCATATACCGCACCTGGCTCCGCTCCAAGTTCGACGAGCTCGTTGAGGCCCTCGTCGAAGTCCTGCTTTCGCCGCAATCTGACGAAACTCTCAAGGTCGCTTTTCCATTTTTTGAATTTCAGTTCTTTTCTCTTTTCTCTTATGTTTTTTATGTTATTTTAAATTCAATTTTTTAATTCGGTTTGCTGGTGATGTGATTAGGAGGTGGTGTTGGACACGATAATGGAGTTTGTGAAGTTCGGAAATGGCGGAAAGTTTCACTCTGCAATGTACCATAGGCTGCTTCGAAGTATTGTAAGTTTTATTGATTCTCCAAAAGCTTAATTTGAGTTTTATTTTTCATGTTTCTCTGTTGTAATTTGAAGAGTAAGTTATAATTTTCTGTTGTCATCCATAGGTTTACACTACGGAACCGGTTAATTTGTTGTTAGACTTGCTCTCATCCAAGTATTTCAAGTATATCGATGTCCGGTAAGGTCACATTCCATTAATTATAGTAATTTTATTGAGGAAAGTTGTGGTACTGACCACTTAAAAAGTATTGTAATTGTTGCATCTATTTTTTGCAGTTATTTTACCTACATTAGCTTGGAAAAGCTTGCTAAAACTCTGGATGCAAATGGCATTTCTGGTACATTGTGCTGGGGTTCTTGCAAAACGTTTGGCTTTTCATTTTTTCATCTTTTCGAGCGGTGGTGGTGTTAGTATTAACTTGGTTGCTTTGTTGTTTCTATCTCTCTCTTAGAGGACAAAAATGTGAAGAAAGACGGCAATGATGGGGAGCATCCCAGAGAAAGGTTAGTATTGTCCACAACATTATCACATAGGAAATTTCGATTCTTTTATTCTCTCATTGAATTTCCCTTGTTAAGAGATGTACATAACCCTAATATAGAACGTTTCCTTCTGTGCTTTGATTAAGTCAGAGGTAATGCCAAGTGGTGAAGTTCTTGGGTAATAATAACCGTAGATTTTTATTGTTACATTCGCCATATGCAGATTGTTGACACTATAGATGTTTTGGTTTCACATCAAGATTTCTTGGAATTAAACATTTTACTTTTAAGTTACTGAGATCCTTGTATGCCTCTACGTAATATTGGCTTCTTCTTTGACTCAAAGTCCATTTTTCATCTGTGCTATTCTTTAATTTTGTGATCAAGTCAATGAATTCTAATTTATAATGCATAGGTGTTAGATTCTTTAGTATGTTGATGCTTTAACTGGTTAGCTTTTGACTGCTAAAATCATTTACTTGCAGCATGGATCAATTAATTCACAAGATTCATTATTTGATATCACACATCCCCTCTCTGGAAAGCTCAGTTGAAAAAACTGATCATGAGATGTGGAGTGGATCAGGTTAGTGTTCTCTGCCTTCGCCCTCAGTGATTAAACAATTAAACTCATACTTTACTTTCCTTTTAATACTTATATTGGTGGAAGATATTATTATTAATATTATAATGGATGAGTCAGTCACCTACCAAAAGGGAAAATAGAGTATGCATCAGTTAGTCAATCCATGCTATGGCCTCAAACATGATTATGGCCAACCTTTTGTTTTAACTTAATGAAATGCAAAGATGCTGAAAAATGATCCTTTTTTCCAGTTCATTGGACAGTATTATAATTAGTCGAAAAAGTGAGTAATACATGGATAATTCCATAAACATTAGAAGGAAGTGTTATCTTTCTTTTGTATTTTTTGTATGCTTCTGTGATCTAACATGGCATGAGAGAAAAGTCTCTTTAAGTTCTGGCAATTAACACTGCCAATTCTGCTTCAAATTGGTTGCTCTAATATACGATTCTCATAGTTTCACCTACCCAAATTCACAGTAATCTATGTGAATGTGTGCGTGGGGTTTTCCTGCATGATTAAGTATTTTCTACATAAACAGAGGGCTGTGAGTATCCTCATGCCTCACGTCTCAATTTCAGACTAGTTAACATGGTGATCAGTGATAACTATAAGCAAGCACTTTCGTCCCTATTTCCTATTCTATAACATCTTTTAGTTTTGTGATCATTTGAGCTTTTAAGTTTCTTTGTTTATTGATTTTATTTTTTTTTGTCTAAAGGTGAATATGAAGAGCTTGCTGGGAAGATGAAGGCAGATGGTAAACAGACTGAGAAGCACAAGGATAAGGTAATCTAGATGTGTCAATGCAACTATCAAAATAGTTTGTGTATTCATTCACTAGATTTCCCTCTGTATTTTGCTTATGAGATTAAAGGTCCGCATTCCTTATGGATTCACAATGTCTTCAGGTGTTGTCTGCAGACAATATTGCCAAAAAGATGAAATTGAAATTTACTAAAGCATGGTTATCATTTCTAAGGTTACCACTTCCAATTGATGTGTACAAGGAGGTAAGACTCATACCCACTACCCACAACGTGATGAATTCTCTCCCTTTCTTCATAGCTCCTAATTTGAATGCCTTTTACCAGCCATACACTTTATTTGGACTATACTTGTTTCCTTTATATGGAATGCTGTTCTAGTATATTTGTAGAAGCAGTGCCTGATGTGTGGTACTGTACTTCATGCGCTTTGGTTTTGTGACTTTCGTCCCCTTTAGTCTCTCTGACAAAATTTTATCATATACACAAAATTTTTGTTTCTTTTAGTGTTATTTTGATAACCAAGATGGTTAGAAAGGGCCAACAAAGGTAGAATCCTTCAAAATTGCAATTTACGAGTTGAGATAAAGTCAGCTTTTTTTGCTTTATTTGGGCTCCATATCTAATCATTTAAGGATGTTCGCCTTGGCTTGATTCTATTGGATTCGTGCCACCCCCCCCCCCCCCCCCCGCACGAGCCCAACCCCTTTTCTTTGTCTCAAGGGTGGGTTTAGTTTGGTCTTGTTTGGCTTCAGGGGTCTAGTTGGTTCCCCTCGCTGTTCTTGATTTTCGTTTTGTATGATGGATCTTTTGTCCATCTTGTTTTGTAATCTATTATGAAATTTCAGTCTCTTATAACAGGAAAAAAGACTAAATGTTATTTTCATCTAGTGCCTGTCTGTTCATTCTGTTTACCTTGCATTTACATATAGTTTTCTACTTTATAATTCTCTGACTGGGCTATGTTTTGATTCTCAGGTTCTTGCCACTCTCCATCAGGCAGTCATTCCTTTTCTAGCCAACCCCGTCTTGTTATGGTAAAATTACTGAACATATTTTATTTATGGTTTTCAGTTTGTTCTTTGTGACCTTGAGTGTATTTAATTTCTTGACAAAACATGCACTGCCCTTTCTATAAGCTCATATGACATATATTGACATGTGCAGTGACTTCTTAACTCGATCATATGACATTGGTGGTGTTATTAGTGTCATGGCTCTTAGCAGTCTCTTTATCCTCATGACAAAACATGGTCTAGAGTACCCCAACTTTTATGAGAAACTTTATGCATTACTGGCTCCCTCTATTTTTATGGCAAAGCATCGATCAAAGTTTTTTCAGGTAATACTAATCTTAGCAGTAACAGTTTAAGCTTCTATACACAAGCCATATAGGACTAAATGGTAATATTTACATTGAACTGATTGGTTAATTTATGATCGCTATTTTATTTGTAGCTTGTAGATGCTTGCTTAAAATCACCACTTCTTCCTGCATATTTGGCTGCTGCTTTTGCCAAGAAATTGAGTAGGCTGTCAATCTCAGTTCCTCCGTCTGGAGCATTAGTTATTATTGCACTGGTTCATAATCTTCTACGTAGACATCCTTCAATCAATTGCTTGGTGAATCGGGTATGAAGACAATCTTTAATTGTTTCTTTGTCAATGAATTTACTATCCTCTTGGCCTGAATTCGTGGGTGTTTCTTTGTTATTTCTTTTTTCATACATGATGCATATGAGGAGTTAATGTTCGTGCAGGGAGGTGGTGTTGAAACTGTGAAAGATGATCCAGAAGCAGAACAGAGGGCTGCTGATGGTGCTGATGGCACTGGAACTGGTTCGGCAGATAAGTCAATCAAAAAATCAGGCATTGATCCTTTTGATAATGAACAAAGTGATCCTATGAAATCAAATGCCATGAGTAAGTATTTTACTTCCCCCCTAATTTCCAAATCTTTTGCATTTCATGTAACTTTTACATATTCATGAGATATCTTTTTAAACAGGAAGCTCACTTTGGGAGATTGATACCCTCCGTCACCACTACTGCCCTGCTGTTTCAAGGTTTCATGCTCGACTCCTGATCGCGCGATTACTGTACGGTCCTTTATATCTTTGAACTTTTCCTGATATATTTTCCTTTGCTCTTAGGTTTGTTTTATCACTCGAGAATGATTTGACAGTCAGAGCCAAAACCACTGAAATATCTGTTGGAGATTTTAGCTCAGGTTCATATGCGACAATATTTGGAGAGCAGGTATTGTTGTATTGTCTTGGAATTCCTCGAGTATATTAGACTTTATGCATTCTGGGAATTTATCCTCACAAAGAAAAAGTAGTGGAAACTGGTACTTGCAGCCCAACAACATAAATTGTAGAAAGCTACTGTTAGTATATGCCTCGTGCAATTAATTTGATGGTTTCATCTCGAGGCATCTTAGTTCACTGTGTTGACTATACTGCAGGTGAGACGAAGGATAAAGTCGGCTCCACTAGCATACTACAAAGCAGCTCCGACCTCTTTGTTCTCAGATTCCGAGTCTCAGTTTCTCGGTTGGACTTTCACGTGTGAAGACAGTAAGCGAAAGAACGACAGCGCTGATGAGAATGGGAAAATAGATAAAGAATGTGACCATAGTCCGGCCAAACGACAACGCGTCAAGTGCTGATAACTGAAATGTACTCACACAAGGGGGCCGGAATATGCTCGCGAATCATATGATGTCGAGCAACAACGATAGAGTTATAGGTCTACGACAATTTATCATTGTACATGTATTTTTCTTGGTGTATCCTTGTTACCTTAGATACCCAGTGACGTGGTCTACAAGTTTGGCATAACTAGTAAATTTTAGACAGTTTTTTAGTATTGGAATTCTTCCTGTTAATTTCAAACAGTCAAATATATATGGGATTTCGTGGTAAGAAACTGATACTTTCATTAATTAGAATCCAAATATCTTAAACCTAATTAAATCTCCAAAAAGAAATGCAACATCAATTTTTGGAAACTTTGATCTTAATCTTGAGCTTCTTTGCTGCTCTGAACCTTTCTTCTTGCTTCTCCTCTTGTTCGAGTGGCAACCGGTCTTCCTCCCTCGCGATTTTTGCACTCTTGCTCTCTTCCTTCAAAATGTCGTCAAACGTGGACACCATCGCAACATCATGACCGTCATCATCTGGCCTGGGGAGCTTGCGGTTGCGTCCGAATATCTCCTGGATCACAGAAGAAACATCAACTGATTGCTCCCCCATCACACGGTCTTTGGCCTGCTTCTTTTGATAGGAACCACCTACAGTTCCTGCTTCAACCTTGACAATTGCAGCGATGGAATAGTGAAGAGGGAAAGAGAAGGAGCGCAGCTCCAGAGAATATATTTTGTATTGAATAAGAGTTCATAACCATTACATGAGAGAGAGAGCTATTGCTCCATTTAAAGGCCTGACCTCCCACTAAGGTGCCGGCTGGACATCCTCCTAACAAACTTTCACCCTAGACAATTTAACATAACAGTAATAAAATGCTTATGAGTAAACAAGTAATTCACTGAGGTAATTCACTGATCCTATCATCTTTGAGATGGATTTCTTCGGCTTTGCTGTGCTTTTCGGCTCAACAGATTGCTTTGTTTGCTTCAAGCCTTGCCTTATTGCACAAGATTCTGACTTAGCCGAGGAGGGTTTGGGTTGGCCAATCACATCCTCTGAACTCTCCTCCACGCGATATTTGATCGGATGTTTTGAGACAGATTCTTTCTGTTCCGGCTTTGGTTTTGCGCTACATTGCTTTGTTTGCTCCAAGCCTTGCATTGTTTAAGAAGATTCAGACTTTGCCGAGGAGGGTTTGGTTTTGCCAACTTCTTCAGGCTCTCCTCCTTTTGAAGGCTTTGGAATTTCTGCACCGTCCGATTGCAGAAAGGAGTAACTCGGGACTCCTTGATCATTTTACACTTCAATGCCTGTGCTCAAGGGGGCAGGACTCTTTACGCTGGCTTTAGACTTGTCGCCGGAATTCAAAACCCTAGAAGCCAACTTCTTCAACTCCGGCATGAAATCCTTCTTCTCCTCGCGCACTCTCTTCATCATAACACGTTCCGATGGGCCGAAGAAGGATCCGAAGTTGTCGAAAGGCAATTTCTTCTTGTTATCATCGGCAGTACTACTAACCGAGCAGAAGTGAGCAGCAGCAGAGCCTCCTGATTTCTTCATGCGAATGCGATCTTTCAGTTGCTGCCTCAGGTGAAGGAAGTCCAATTGCTCTGCCTTAGTAGGACGCATAACTACAGCAGCCATCTTTTCCGATCCCGAAGTCGAAACCCTAACTTGTATGAAAAGCAACTACTAGTCCACAGAATGATGTAGGTCGTAATGGAATGGGAAAGTCTATTGATAGGTTTTAGGAATTGGAATCCGCGTCATAGGATTTTCCTTAAAAAATTAATCCAATTTATCTGGAAATAATTACCACTGAAGAAAATTAATTTTTTTAATAAACAACAAATCCGGCTGTTCCCACAACCGCATCCAAATTCCTCCAAAAAGATATTGCTTGTTTTATGATGCCTTTCTCATTTTTCCCCTTCTAAATTAAAACTTCTGCAATTGAATTTAGGGTTCTATGATTTGAGAAGACGGGTGGATTAGTTACCAGGAAAAGAAAGACAAAAAAAACCTGATTTATTGCTATATTATTATGTACAACAAATTTCAATCAAAAGCCAACAGAAATCTTTAGATCATAAGACAGATCAAAACAAGAGATGGTTGGCTGTTTGATGGCAATTCTGGATAAATAAATAAAAGAGAAAAAAGAAAACTCATCATTCAATACCATCCTCAAACTGTGATTGATCGAACATCTAATCTAATCATGATTTACCATCTAGTTCCTCCTTCAGAAGGTTCAGGCCTTCCGTCGATATACTCCTCTTGAATTTTAACTTTGGGATCTCAAGCAACGGGGGTGGATCTGGCGAGAAGCATACCACAACCACCGTCAGGTTATCGCACGTGTTGCGCTTGAGTGCCTCCCGAACCAGCTCTCTTGAGCATCTCTCGGGATCATTGTGAATCATTAGTTCTTTCCTTGCGATTGTGACTGCACACTGGCTGCTCATCACATCCCACAGCCCGTCGCAGCCTAGGATCAAGAATTCATCTTCCTCGCTTAGAATCATCTCCTCAAGCTCTGGTTCTGCGCTCAACGGACACAAGGAACCTTTAGAGCCTTTCATGTGCCAGTCCCCAAGAGCTCGTGCAACTGATAATTGACCATTGAGGTAGCCATCGTACACCACACCTCCCAGTTTCTCAATTCTTATTCTTTCTGAGGCGCAATTGGGTTTATGGTCTTTGGAAAGCTCCACTGCCCTACCTCTTCTTCCCAGCACAGCTCGGCAATCCCCAGCATTCGCAATTAACATCGTCCTGAAAAGGAGAAATCATATGCACATCAGGATCATACCAATTATAAAGACACAAGTAATTGAAGAGAACTTTGTGGTCAAAATCTTACAAGCCTCCAGTACATTCTTCATACAGAAAAAAACTTATCAAGTTTACCTCGGTATGACTTTATATTTTATAGCCGGACATCTATCGCACAATGGAAGTGTTTAAAATGTGACCCCCTGCCTCCCACTAAAACGTTTATTACCATGTTACAAGCTCTATATTGATGCCATGAGATATAAAGCCATGAGAGCATTCCTGGATGAAAGCACCATGGATGACATTGTAACAGCAAGAAATGTCGTTGGCAAAGATGAAATATTACTTGTGGACGTGGCGCAATAAGATAGCTTATAATGTACAACGATCTCAATAGAATTCAAATTTTCCTACTAACAATTCTCCAGCATATAGCTCCATAAGCTTCAAAATCGATCCGTTGGCAATTGTTCAAAAATTGTTTCTAACAACCCCAAAACAGAAAGTTTTCAACGAGGGAGCAGATAAAGCACATTGCAAATATGAAAACTAACATACAGCCGCTAGCAGAACCGAGACAATTTAAAATCACTTTATCAACAAAAGATGTGTAAAGAGACAATAGAATAATAATAACTCTCACCTTCCAGAAATGAGGGCAGTAAGTACAGTGGTACCAGAAGAACTATCAAGACTACCGGTATCAGCAAAAGCAAGGTCAGCGTTTAGGAAAGCGCTCTTAATAGCCTTCTTAGTGCAGAAGGGAAAATCCGGGTCCTCAACTATAAACCTTAAAATGTTCTCTCTAATAAAAGAAGCTGCATCAGTACCACCATGGCCATCAAAAACCTGCAATGGAACAAAATGATTGACACATAATGGCATGTCAGGGTAGTTGTATACTCAGAAAAATCACATGAAAGTAGTATTAATCTTTATAATCACAATTTTACACATAGTTCAATGATTGAAATACAGACCCCGTAGAATGCTCCTGGAGAAGTGAAGTTCTCAGTTGCACCTAGATGATCAAGTATATTGTCTATACAGATATGCTCATCCTCCATAAATGGTTTTGATCCAATCTCAGAGCAGCTTCCAGAGCGAAAAACAGGTACAAAAGCTGAGTTACTATTTGATGGGGACTTTGAATTAACAATCTCAATATCCAACTCCTAAGCAAGGAGTGAAAAGGCAACATCAAATTTCATGCCATTTAATATGAAATGAATAATAAAATGCAATTGTTATAGCTGATAGAAATCAATCTCACCACTTCAGCTGCAGGAGCCAACTGGGCAGTGCTCACGCAGTACCTAATAGCTGAGAGGCGCCGAGGAGGTTTGCCAACGCTCGGTTGCTTTAAGTTCTCAAAAGTACTTGATTTCTCGTCTCTTGTAACAATAACGTTCTCCTTTCTGAAGCTGCCATCCAACATGGAAAGCGGATGTGGATAATCAGTGCCTGCAGCCATTTTCTTCCAAAACATAATCCACTCCTGGATTAAAAAAACTGGACTTCAAGTATACCCTTTCCAACTGGACTTCAAGTATACCCTTTCAAGGACTCTTTCCACATACAGGTAGTTCAAACTTCAAGAGCTTCGTACTATTCTCAAGCAAACAAATTTCGATACCAGGAACAGACACCACACAACAGCTCCAATTACGCGTCTTCCTTTTGTGTTGTTCCTTCAGATATCTGAGCAGAAAAGTACCCGAAAATTCTCAACTCACTTCTCAATAACTTGTTAAACTAAAAGATAAAAGATCAAACAGCGCAGTTAACCTATTGAACCACAAGCTACAAGCCTAAACTGTACTGAAAATATAAACTCCCTAAAAAGAAAAGAACTTTGAAATTTCCAGGACTACCCACAAATCCATATCACAATCCAAACCACCAAATCAGCCACAACCATATCAAATTTCGGGGAACAAAACAGAAAAACCCATAATAATCACGACTCTATTCTATTTTTAGTAAAGCATAAAGTTCATAGCTATTATTTGTAGAATACAACTCATATAACTCACAGATTTAGAACTACAGAAACCAAATCCAAATACAGAAACCATCACAGACCAAGCAAAAAACTTAACCAGAAAAAACCCAAATTCACAAAATCAATTACTCAAAAACCCTAATAAGATCACACACAAAAGATTACAACTCCTCAGACATAAAGATTCAAACTTTACACATAAAAAAGATAAAATTTGAAGAAAATAGTTGGTGGGCGATGAGATTATGAGATGGAAAATACTTGCCTTACTGTTTTGGTTAGCTAAACGAAATCTTCAAACATCACGGAAAGAGAAATTGGAAATTGATGGGAACAAATAAGCCCACAAAACCCACAAAGCTTTCAACTCAAAAACTGGGAAAATTGTTTTTATTTTATATTTAATTGAATTCTTTTGGTTTGATGTGTGCAGGATTTGACGTTGAAAGAGTTCTGATGGATGAAGAAAACAGAGGGCAACCGGCTACGTGTGTATTTTCAACCGGTCATCGCGGGTCGCCCGGTTGGAGTCGTAAATACGGACAGATGGGAGACTGACACCTGGCGGGGATGGTGTTTGATATTTTGGGTTGGTAACCGGATGATGGGAAAGGAGGGTGTGGAGTTCAGGTGTGGGAGATCAACAATTGCGGCTGGGGTGTTTTTGCAGCCGTTGGATTATAACAGTTGTGGACGGTTCTCACCAAAAGTGGGGAAACCGGTAGTTGACGGTCGTTGACGGCGCCGATCTTTAGTTCATGTTTTTCAAAGCGGTAAAATTGGAAATAGGTTTTTGCAGAAAGTGGAGATTCTAAATTCTAAATATATTATTATTCCAAACCAATGTCATCCATCCACACACATCACATTATTTTAAATTTATTTTTTCATCGGATACCTTAAAGCATGAGTTGTCAAAATTGTCACATAAACATACAACAGTAAAAAAATAGCTACAAACTCTCTCCAATCGAGTTTTCAAATTTTTACATGGCGTTGAATCATTTAAAGGCAAAGTTTTTTGCTGTTAAACTTGATAGCAGCTATCAAAATCATTTAATGACGTTTTAATAGATGAGATGCAATATATAATAAACGTTGTTGTGTGTTTCAAGTATTTGATTTGTTGTTTCAATAAAATTAAAAAAAAAATTTATCAATTGACAATATTATTTAACATGTCAAGAGAGCAAAAAATTATACTAAATATCAAATTTTCACATAAATCATCAAACACTGTAGAAACATTAAAGAGAAAGGCCTTTCACAATTTTATTTTCACATTAATCAGCCCAAGAAATTAAAACACATTTTCACAACATGTCGTGTGTTTGATTTGATGAAGGAGATTTAGGTGTGGCTACCCTATGCGATTCCAGTTCATTATGATTGAAATCTCTACATTTGAAATTCAGAAATTGTCTAAAAATTATATATGGGTAATATATGTCATTTACTCAAACTTGATCACTTCAATTGTGTCCACGATATAGTTGTCTCCATACCTTTTCTCAACTTCTTTTTAGTAAGTAAAACATGGGTTTTGATCAAGGTCTAAAATATCGATATTATCCCGATATTTTCATCGAAATTTCCGTATTTTTGGATTACCGATATTTCCGATATCATCGATATTTTAGACCTTGATAGAAACTCTATGTGGTACTAAGTCACTCATGTATCTTACTATGCAATGTATAAAGTGTAAAATATTGTACTAATTCATTATATATAAATGATTATGGTGTATTTAAACTTATTTCATTAATTACTACATATTTTCTACACTCACAATGTTTGCCAACTCGCTATATAATCAACTTAAATCAGTTAAATCCATCATGCAATGCATTTTCTTCCAATTTTTTGTGATAAACTAATAGATAATTGACTAAATAAACATGCTGCAAAGTTTCAATAAAAATTTCCAAGTTTTTCTTACAATTTCCATGGTTTTTATTCAATTTTTATCGATATCGATAATATCCTGATATTTCCGTCGAAATTTATATATTTTTGGACTACCGATATTTCCGATATCATCAATATTTTAGACCTTAGTTTTGATTCATATATATTTACAACTTGCATGTTGACATGAATAATGACACAAAAAAAATAAA